ATTCACCCAAATTCGTTTTTCGTTCTCCATCACTTCTCTGAGTTTGTCTGCATATTCTTCTTCTGTGCTTTAGCCTGTTGAGCGGTGTTCTTTCAAGATCAAGTTGCTGATTCAATTCAGTTAATTTATTCTCATAAGTGTTTTTCAACTGTTTTTAAATGTTGCAATTCAGTCTTCATCTCAGACATATCATCTTCAAGTTTGTCGCATTCGTCTTGTTTTTTGTCGAGTTCTGTATTTGTTCTCATCAATTCTTCGGAGGCAGTTTTATAATCTCTCATAGTCTCAAACTTGTTCAGCCATCTGGACATTCTTCTCAAATGTTTCAGCTTTGACTGTGATTTCAGCGATATCTTTCTTGTACTATTTTTTTAATCAATTGGGTCTTAGTGTGGTCTTTGTTTTCTTGATCAAGTTCAGTTCTAACGCTCTTCAGTTCGTCTTGGTATTTCTGTTTCATCGCTTCATTGCCATCTTTTTCATCATTTGCAGTGTCAAGTTGTTTCTGTGCTATGTCGACTTCAGCATTCAAGTCTTTGATCATCTTGTCCATTTCCTCCAAATCATTATCATTCTTCTTCTTCTCATCAATGAGTTGGTCAACTTGGACTGTCAAGTCTTTGGCCTTTTTAGTCAACTTTTCTTCAGTGTTATTTGCTTCATTTAAGTTGAACTGAATTTTTTGTTATTATTTCTCTCAACAACCTTTCGAACAGCATCTGCACTGTCCGCCTTCTGTCTTTCTTCATCAAGTCGAGTTTAAATTTTAGCAATTCTTGCATTCAACATGTTCTTCTTCTTCTTCTTGAGCAACAGAAGCCGGTGCACTGACTTGGACTTTAAGTGATGAAACTTGTGCATTGAGTGTTTGACTTGGTCTTCCATCTTCTATCAGATTGGTCCGCAGCAGTCTTCTCAGCCTCCGCTTTGTCGTCCAATGCCATCTTCTTTTGTGCTTCAAGTGCCTTAATATGTGATTCATTATTCTCAATATTTGAAGCGTCTTCAACTGATTGTTTCTTCATATCCTTCTCAACAACATCAAGTTGAGTGTTCTGGTCTTTCAACGCAGCAACTGCCTTTTCCAAATCAACTATTTGGTTGTCTCTCTGATGACTTCAGTTCGATCGATATTTGAAGTCCCAACTGGTCTATCTTAATGGTCTTGTACTTGTTGTTCCAAATCGGTTATTTTCTTCTTGTCTTTAGCTGTTCTGTCTCTTAATTCAGTCAACTCAGTGTTGTTTGCTTCTAAGTCTCTTTGTAACTTTTTGATTGAACCATTCAGATTGTTGATCTCATCTTCGTGTCCTGAAACTAAGTTATTGAGTTGGTCATATTCGTCTTGAAGCTTCTTCTTTTCAGAAGAAAGTTGGTCTTTGTCATTCGCTAAGTTCTTCACCTCTTCTTTAATTTCGTCGTTTTCTGCTTTCAACTTCTTCGCTTCTATTTCTTTCGCAAATTTGTCTTTCTTGACAGTTTCAAGCTCTTCGTCGGCTTCAGCAACTTCTTGTCCTCTTCTTGTGATAACACCAGAAAGTTTGTCGGCTTTGGCACTCAATTCCTCAATCTTTTTATTGCTCTCATTAACAGTTCCATTTAGTTTCTTTTTATCAGCAGCATCAGTGGCGGCATTCTTCTTAAGATAAGTTCTGTTGGAGTTGGTCAAGTTCGGCTTAGTTCTTCCCAAGTCGTTCTTAGTAATTCTCAACTTCTCATTTGCGGCTTCGACTTCTTCGTTAAGAGAAACTTTTTCTTTTTCAGTGTCTTTCAATTTGGCATCGACAACAGATTTGGCTTTAGTCAAATTGTCATTGTCAGCATTCAATTAAGTCAGTTGCTTTTCTTGAGCATCTTTTTTTTCTATTCATGTTCTCAGCATCAGCTTCAAGGTTGTCTTTCTTATTAATAGTTTAGGCAAGTTGTTCATTCAAGTTATTAATTTCAACGTCTTTTTGATGCATATTCGATTTGGCACCAGCCAAGTCCTTTTTAGTCTTCTCCATATCATCTTTCAACGCTTGGATTTGGGCTTCGTAGTCGGCCTTCTGTGCTTTCAACATATCAGAGTCATTCAGTCCGTCTTCAATTTTCTTAAACAACACAGCAAGTTTTCTATTTTTATCTTCTAACTCGTCTTTCTCTGAGTTCAATAATGAAATCTTTTTATCATTTGCATTCTTGGCCAAAGTCAAAGCAGCAGTCTTCGTCTTCTCAGCTTGCAATTATTGGTTATACCCATCTTTTTCGTGAGACCTTCTTGTTCTGAGCAACTTGTTTGTCGAGTTTCTTCTCAATATCGTCAAGAGCCAATTGAGTCTTTTTCAAATCATTTTTGGTATTGGCAAGATCATTCAAACAGAGCCAGTGTTTTCATTCTATGGTTGACATTAAAATCGTGTTTTGCAACTTTTTGACTTGTTTCTCCAAATTAGCAATGTCGTCTTCCTTTTCGTGCAATTGTGTCTCAAGATCCTTTGAATTGTCTTCTTCGGCCACAAACTGCTTCTTCAAGTCAGAAATTTCGCTTTCCATACCTTCAATGTCTTTGTTCAACTCGGTGATAACACTATCCCTCTTAGCAATAGTGGCTCTGTGTTCAGTAATTTCATCTTGAAGTCTTTGATTATCAGCTTCAAGTTTCTTGTACTCAGTAGTTAACTTGCTTAAGTCTTCCTTTCCTCTCTTAATATCACCTTGAAGTTCCTCAATGTGTTCTTAATCTTCTCGTGACTTCATATCCGCCTTGTCAAGTGAAACCTTCTTTGACTCAATACCTTTTTTAAACTTTTTAACTAAAGCTTCCAAGTCGACATTCTTGATTTTAATTTCAGAAAGTGCCTTCTCAGCGACTTCTCTCTTCTTATTTTTTTTATCAACAAGCTTCTTCTTAAAAGTTTCAATTTCTTTGTCTTTAGTTGCGAATTAACACTCATCGACTCTTCTCTTCTCGAATATTGGTCTAACTTTTTGGAACAATCTGAACCAGACCCGGTTTCTGAATTGGTACCAGTGTGGATGGTGTTTTGAATGAACTAATAGCAATCGTTCATTGCGTTTCTGTTCAATAAGTTTTCTTTGTGAGATTGCTTTTGCACACATATGAAGACCACCAACAAGTTCAGTGACTCTGTTTTTTCTATTCTCTTCAATTTCAGCAAGAACACCAACATTGAAAAAAATCTTGGTCTTACCAAACTTGAATTTGCCAGTGTTCACTCTTGGCTTGTTTCTTGTACTTCTCACAAAATAGTTTCATGAGATCCTTGACTACTGGCATAGCATCTGAAGTCTTCTTGTTGATGTTAGTTCCAAGAAAAAAGTATCTCTTCAAGAATTCGTTGTAGATGATTCTGTTTGGATACCCAAGACGTGTAATTCTAATACCTTCCAAAACACCATTGCATCTCAATTGCTTCAAGACAGTCGAGTCAATGAAGTAGTGTCTTCTCTTCTGTGTATTTAAAAAAAACGCAGATAATATAGTGTGGTGTAGTCATTCTCAATTTCTTCATAAGATCATCAAGTTGTTCTCTGTAATTAGATCCTACAGTCAAAAACTTGGCACCTCTCTGGCCCTTGTTGGCTCCACCAGCCGAAGCTCCGAAGTCATCACCACCGGCAACATGCAAACTGAACAATTCTGAAATGAACTTCCCTTGAACAGCCAAGATAGTCTTTTTTATTTGTGGTTCCAATGGATTTTGGTTTTTTCAAATTCTGTCAATATCATCATATCTTAGTTTTATTTGAATTATTCAGTTTTACTTATTTACTAATTTTTTTATTTATATAAATAATATAAATAATACTTTATTGATATTAATATAATGAAATATATGGTAATGTTTGCTAGAAAAGCTATAAATACCCAGTGAATAAATTTCAAAAAAAAATACAAAAAAGTGTATAGTAGTATATAAATTATGTGGATTTAGGGGAACAACATTTTAAACTATATTTTATCATAATTTAATTAAATCGCGAGGGGACGGTTTTGGAAAAACCTGAAGGGGCGAAGCCCCAACGCAGAGATTTGAATTTAATTATAGATCAGATTTATAGTAAATTTATAGTAATATGGTTTTTTATCTTCCTTATAATGACTGAAGGGATAATTAAACTTGATTATGATAAAGATGTTGATGATTATGTTAAATATGATTTAGATGACAAATCCTTATTTGTCGATCTTGGATGTGGATATAGAATTTAAATTTAAAGAATGGAAAGATTCAAAGAATATTTGAATGATTATCTTAACACTCTACAAAGTAATGAAAATGTAATATGTAATTACCAAACTAATGAATGTTGGTGTAAAACATATCCTTTAACAGATAAATATGCTTTGAACAAATTGATTAGCGTTCTAGAAACAAGAATATTTGATCATGATGAAATAATTAAAGCTGTAAATTCAGATTATGATATCGATATACCAGAGTAGTTATAGTAGGTCACCTATCACCTTTAATATTATTTGCCAAGGATTAATCCTCATTTATATGCCCATTTTCAATATTTATATTCCCAAAGGATTTGACTCTATTCATTAGGGTTTTTTGACATATATAGGTGTAAAACACATAAGGATTCAACATCATACCTTAGTGGTTTTAATAAGTATTTTTCATAAAATTGACATTATTTTTGATTATTGTTCACAACAATTATGTTAATATTTAATAAAACATTCTACCATTATATATTTTTAAAAAATTGAAAATATGTTTTTGAACTTATTATAAAATAATTTTAAAAAACTAGACAAA